CCAGGTGATTTTTCTCACACCACTCCACAAAGTCAGTAACAACCCCCCTGTATTCCCGCTCGTCCCCCCAGATACACATCCAACAATGACAGTGTCGTCCGAGAACTTTTGTAGATGACACTGCTGGGAGTCTGACGTGTACAGGGTGAACATAAAGGGGAAAAGCACCGTCCCTGGGGTGCCCCTGTGCTGCAGACTACCACATCTGACACACAGTCGTGCAGCCTTACCAACTGAGGTCTGTTTGTGAGGTAGTTAATGATCCATTCAGACAGGTGATGGTCCACACCTACCCCCTCCAACTTCCCCCTCAGCAGTGACGGCTGGATTGCGACCATCACCGTGGTGACCGTGGTAGAGCCGTCGTCTTCAAACCACAAGGTTGGAGTTTCGAATCTCGGTGCCGGCAGTCCACGTGTCAAAGTGTCCTTGGGCAAGACACTGAACCCCACTGTTGCCCCCGATGGTTAGAACCATTGGTTGAGTTGGTGCTGCAGATGGCTGCCATCGGTTCTATACCGGAAACAAAATTCCTTGTAACATACTTGGCCATACATTCATTCTATTCTATTGTGTTGAAAGCACTGGAGAAGTCAAAGAACATGACCTTCACAATACTTCCAGGCGACTCCAGGTGAGATAGGGCTCCATACAGCATGTAGATAATAGCATCATCTACCCTGATGCCAGTTTGATATGCAAACTGCAGCGGGTCCAGCGCTGAGCTCACTTGGGCACGGAGGTGGCTGAGGGCAATCCTCTCCATGGTTTTCATCAGGTGGGAGGTCAAGGTAACAGGTCTGTAATGGTTCGGCTGCTTAGGATGAGTTATTTTAGTAAGTGGGACCACACAGGATGTCTTCCACAGAACCTGAACTCTCTCCATGCTAAGACTGATTAAACATGTACAGGACCACTTCACTAAGCTGGTCCGCACACCCCCTGAGGAAACTGGGGCTGATGTGGTCAGGGCCTGTGGCCTTCCTTGCCTTAATCCTCCTTAACTCTTTCCTGACCTGGTCCACTGTGAGGCAGAGGGAACAGGTGGGCGGTGACTGCTCAGGAGCTGTTAGGTTAGGTTAGGTTAGGTTACTTTATTTATACCCGTAGGTAAATTTGTCTTGCAGTCAGATCAAATGACATCCTTGACACATTCACAAAATACAAAAATAAAATACAACAACACATAACATAAAACCTGGCGCCTACACCGAACGTAATAAAAGTACTCAGGGCTCCACCAATCAAGACATAAAAGAAAGAAAACATCCGAAGAAAACCTAAAATTACTTACAATATATTACTACAGCCTATTTAACTCTATAACAGCAGCAGGGACAAAACTATATCTATACTGCTGCGTTTTACATCTCGGGACGACAAACCTTCGTCCAGAAGGAAGAAGCCGAAAGTGGCAGTGCAAGTGGTGATCATCATTATTTTGAGCAGGCTACATGCAGCCTTGATAATTTAGTGAAAAGGTACCAAGTCCACTAATATGACATGACAGCAATTAGCAAGACAGCATATACAATATGTCTATCACTTGATTATGAACATAAATACATCCAGTTCTTGTGATTTTAAGCCGTTTATTTATTGTTGAGAATATGTAAGACAAAAGATTGGCCCTGTAAAATGCAATGTTGTACAGAGGCAAATATATTTGCACACAAACAACTTTATTCTCAACTTTTTATACCACTTTGTTTCCGCCTGCTTACTCTGCTTTGTTCAAAATAAAAATAAAATGTGCAATTATGCATGTGAAAACTGAGAATGTAAACAGTATACAGTGAGGAACAGAAGTATTTGAACACCCTGCGATTTTGCAAGAAGATGCAGTAGAGTCCAATATGGTTTAGGTTTTGGGAAAGTGGTGATCATCATTATTTTGAGCAGGCTACATGCAGGCATGATAATTTAGTGAAAAGGTACCAAGTCCACTAATATGACATGACAGCAATTAGCAAGACAGCATATACAATATGTCTATCACTTGATTATGAACATAAATACATCCAGTTCTTGTGATTTTAAGCCGTTTATTTATTGTTGAGAATATGTAAGACAAAAGATTGGCCCTGTAAAATGTAATGTACAGAGGCAAATATAAAATAAAAATATAATGTTCTGAAATTTGGCATTTTTATTTCTAATGCCACCCAATGCAGTGGAGGAGGTGAAAGAAAATGTTTGTGAAGCTCAAAGTAATGGAAAACTGCATTTGAAATCTTATGTGGTCTTTGACTTAAAGAGTATCTATGTAAGGCTGCGTTCAGACTGACTTGAGCTATTTAAAACACAGTCCTCCCATTCATTTGAATGAGGTGTGGCCACTGGTGCACCGAGGGCAGTAATCTGTCAGTCCATCTTGACTTCCTGGATTGTAGTTCATTGTCTCACCAGTATCTTAAAAAAACAATGCAGCCTCCAGCATAGTTTTAATGCAGGGCTGTTTTCAGTCACTGTCTACTGTTATACCCCATTTCTTTTATTGGACAGATCTGAGTAAGGAAGGAGTCTGTCTTTCTTGATTTTAGTGCTGGTTTATTTAAAAAGCCACAAGTTCAAAGTCACAAAAACACAACCTGGGTGGCTCTCTCCCTCAGACAGGCTGCTGGAGAAGAGAGCTCCCTGGAACACAGAGCCTAATACATTTATACAGTTTCTTGGGCTAACCCCTTACGCAAACAGATATAGAATTATCACACGTTGGAGACAGTCCGACGTCTCCTTCTCTTATTTTATGCTCCACATGCGTCAAGCATTAATCAGAACAAATGAAGAACTCCATGTGCAGATTTATGTCTGAATGATTGTTTTAGTTACACACCACGTAACAACAAATACAACAACAAGGCATGTCTTGTGAGGCTGCCTAGAGTCTCTTTACCCTGCAATTGCTTTTCAAAAAATAGCGTACCCCTAAACGGGAAAAGCTGAAGGTGACTTCTCAGTGTGTTAGTTAGAAAGTGTTAAATGCACAAGCTAATTGTAAATGAACAGCTATAAAAGCAGATTTATACCCTATTAAATTTAGCAATTGTTTCACAATTTTTCATGTTTATTTCACTTGTTATTTGGTGAACAGCCATGTGACTCCTCTAGTAGACACAGTCACTGGCTGCTGCTTGTGGCCACAGAACTAATGCACCACCAAAGGTATTCTACCTCCCTGGCTTCCCACCTGCAAATATATCCCAGTGTGTTCAACACACAACAAAATCTGGGATATTATTACAGGTATTTGATCCACATGTACCTGGGTGTTCACCTCACCAGTACGCTAGACTGGTCAAACAACACTGAGGCACTTTAAAAGAAAGGCCAGAGCAGGCACTACCTGCTGAGGAGACTAAAGTTGTTTGGAGTGCAGGGGACACTCCTGAGGATCTTCTTTAACACAGTAGTAGCATCAGCCATCTTCTTTCAGGTGAAAATCTGAATTAAAAACTCAGGATGCAAGGTCCAAGTTGTTAGACAAATATGTCAAAATAAAAAAAAAACATTAAAATATCATTTTGATCCTTCCACATTTTGAAACAGTTTGCAACTACAATTATGTTGAGAAACAACAGCTGAAGAAACTTGTAATAAAAGAAGACAGGCGAGTTAAGGAGCTTTGAAATGCACCTTTTGCATCTTTTTTTTAAAACTCTACTAATCAATATATTCTATGAACAACAGATAAAATGACTGCCTGCATCTTTTAGCTTATTGTTTTTGTCAGTCTTGTTTTCAACAGCAGCTGCTTCAGTGATAAAGCTGGGATCAACCCACTGTACACCACATGCTCAGCACCAAAGAGTAGACAGACACAATTAAGAGCAACACACACTGGGAGCATTGTGCTATGCCCCATAACGCGCAGCAGGAGCAGTGCAAATTCAGTGCCAGACCAGCGAAATGGGTGAGTATTTCAGTATTTCATTCTTTTGACGCATGTCCACAATGGGCAAATAGGACTATAGCATATCCTGACATGGCGATGCGTGTCACTTTGCCACTGTTGTGTGGGCATGTGTTGAAAGTAACACATGCCACACAGTAATGTCGGTGCTCTGACGTGCGTCACACGCCGCCAGCGGGTGAGGTCCTTTAGAGACTGCCTCAGTGAAATACTGTCTTTGTATCTGTTCTGTTCTGTTGCCCCCAAATTCCAAAAAAATGTATTAATCTAGCCTTAAATTAAAGTTGTTTATCTTTTCTAAATAAATAAGAGAACTATGAATATTGCCACCAGACACAGAGGCACAAAATGTAAGCACAGTCCCAGTGGCAGGTCTAAAGTACTGTATACAGTATGTACAGAAGCATCATTTTTACATAGAAGGCTCCATTCACAGCCATGCTGTAAAGTGGCATACGGACTATCCCACTGCTGTGGAGAGGGGAGGGGTGTAATTATCTGGTTCCTGTTGGATGAACTGGTGTTTATACAGTGTGGGTCAGTGTTGGCCTGTCCAGCACTGAGCTACCTTTACACACTGAACCTGCACACTGGACTGCATGCTATTTGAAACATAGGCTTTTGCACTAAATGCTTGACTTGAGATGATATGCAGATTCAAACACCCACCTATACATTCTTACTGCTGCATAAGAGAACATTCACACAAACGTGCACACAGAGCCAGACAATTTCACTGTATAAAATATTTACACTGTTGCCATGACAGCCTTGCTAAAATTGCTCTCAGGGAAGTTATGGCATTTTGGGATAAAAGCCCAGAAAAGCACAGCAGACACAGCACTACCATCTTCCTCCCAACAGGCTTCCTTTATAAAAAAAACATCTACACATTCAGCATGCAGTCACTGGGCATTTAGCTGGAGAACAGCATACCTGTCACTGGGTTCACATTACAGCAGCCTGGCTATTCACACACTTCGACTTCAGATGAAGGATTTCACTGATTCTGTATGGGATTATGCAGCGCTGTAGTTCATAAACGTCAGGTGATGTAAAGCATGCTCACATTGTAAAAACGTTTCTTTTGATTTCCTTGTAAATTGAGAGAGCCAACAAAGCTATCATGACGGTGGTGAATATCAAAGCTCCACTCAAGAAACACACAAGAGAGTTGGAAGAGTTGCCTTCATCTGCAGAGTTATAAAAGACATTACAGACCTTTTAGTTATTATCTCTATATGTGAAATTTGATGAGAAGATAATTGTAATTATTGCTGCTGCTTACCTTCTACATCTGTGCAGTTCAGAGTCACAGAGCCTCCTGGGTGGATGGTCTCAGATGCTGACTGATGGACCACAGCTTGGACGTTCACACTTGAACCTACACTGCAAACTCAATCTTGCATGAATAGCAACTTGTGCAGTAATAAGTAGCTGAGTCTGAAATCTGTAAATTCAAAATTGTCAAGTGATTTTTTCCATTATTTGTTTCAAGTGAGAACCGTGGATTGTCCTTGAATTCAGCATAAAAAATGCCACTTGTATCATGCTTATAGAAGGAGGAGAGAAGCCTTGGTTTCTGTTGCAGAGTTTGTTTGTACCAGTAAAACATTGCTGCAACATCACCTTCATAGAAACATCGCAAAGTCACATTGTCTCCAACATTAGCTGATATAAAACCACCATCCTGATGCACAGATGAAGACAATTTATTATTAGTTGCCAGTTCTGAAGAGAAAGGAGACAAGATACCATGATATATTTATCAAAATGGCTGAAAAAACAGTTAGAAATTCTATCAACAATGGATAAACATTTAGGGATGTAAATATATCCACCAAATGCCCAACTTACCTATTCTCCACAGTAACGCACAAGTCAGGTATAAGGCAAACTTCAGACATGCCATCATGATCAAAATGTCTTGATGAGTGTAGAGAGACTGCATACGCTCTCTGCTCTTCAAGTGGGGATCTTATTTGATTGGCTAACAAGCAGTGACTGAATTTCCTATTTTAGAAACACCGAACACATGTTCAGTGTCCCCCACCCCCTATGGTCAATACTGGTACACGAGTCAAGACACATGGACGGCGTTATCAGAACCACAGTGCAACTCATAAGCCTGATGTGTAAAACCACTAAAAACAGGACTAACTTGTTGATAAATGCAGTGGAGTCTAATTATG